TTTCCTGTAAATTTATGCACTATTGATCTTATTTTTAGATCCCATTTTGTCTATCTCACCATTTTCCCAAGATGATTCACTTCCATTCGTGTTTCGACCTTAAGATTTTTTGGCTTTACAGATACAGGAAATTTCGAACGCGAAGGAGTTCGATAACTCAACGCTAAAATACATAACCTCACCACAATAACTTGACTGATGCTACAATGTACACAACATGATTCCTACAGCACTCCATGTGAATGTTCTACTGTTAGCAGCAATACTGGAAGTTCTTATCTACCAGCTCTTCGAAAACCTGCGTCGCTTTTGCTTTCACGGCTTCCACACTGTCAAACCTCGTCCCTTTATTTTACCTTTGATATCAAAGTGGGAGGATGGGGCAGTAGTGAGCGGATACAGTAGTTGGTTCAATCATTCTAGATTGCGTTTACTGGAGAAAGAATCATTTTTGTGCAAAGTTTCTGCATGACCATTGATTCATGCAAAATCTGACAGACTGTCATCGTTAATGAACAATTTAAAGGACTCGGACACTTAGATGACGATTTTTGTGGATCAATTTACCCATTGGTTGGCTATTATTTAGTTTTTATTTTGTTGATTATCCAAGAAGCGGATCGTCTTTGGTCGTTTTTCTTTAACTCCCTCAAAAACTTGTGGGCGCGATAAACATTCATTTCCGTACACTTCTTTTAACACGATACAAGTTTTCGTAATTGTTTTTTCCTAGTTTCACAAGAAACTTGAGGTTATTGTTTTTGAATGTCATTGAATTCAAATCTGCCGCCGCATGCTGACTGTTTGCCTAAAGCAGCAGCTGTCCTTTATTAAATTGCCGTGCCTAGTACGTTTATTTTGTCATAAGAATCTTAAATAAAGTATAAATATAAATAGGTAAAAGAAAAATAAAGAATTGGTTTTTCTATAACCTGGATGACCGATTTTTGACTTTCAAAAATTTTGCCTATCTTCAGGTCCCCGATAAATGGTTACTTAACGACTAAAAAAGAAGAAATGCTCTAAACGTTAATCTATATTAAGTATAAATTATGCCAATACTAAGCTTACCATGAGCCAAATTTTATATGAAGGTTACAAGTATACTTACAAAATATATTATTATAAAATACCATAAGGTACCTATATGATTACTTTTATCATGAATAATTGTTAGTAGAGTCCAAGAAAAGCAGATCATTAGTGTTAATACTTACTGGTGTTAAAAATTCTTATTTTATATTGTAAAAATTGGAGGATACAAGTATAAAGTGTGTAATTTTATAACTAAATATATTTTAAGGTTTTTTTATGTTAAACTAACTCAATATTTTTCAATAATATATACGTTATTTTATAAGACCAAAGTTTATATTTATATATAACTTAATTTCTAGTCACATTTTTTCAGTAAATTATATTCAGCACAATACTTTCCAAGTCTGGTGATGAACTGTTCAACTTTATATGTAAATCACTACTTATATAAAATAAAAAATATGTAATTTGCCTTTGTTGATTTTTATATACTCACCCCTTTTATTTTTTGACCATTATTTTAGAGATTTCTACTATTATTAAATTATTTATCTTACAATTGGATATGGAACAGCAAATACGAGAAATGGAGATAAGTGGCGAGATGAATCAAGCAAGGAAATTCTTTAATCCATTAACGGCCAAGCAACAATGAAAAGCAATAATTTTTTCGAATTTTTTTATTGAAACTAGTTAAAAATGTCTTAACTAAGATACGTTTGATTTTTTTACAAAAAAAAATAACAATAACATCTAAAAAATTAAGGGTGCACCTACGCACCCTTAGCCAATACTGTTATACGTAAAACATAATTATTATTTTGTATGAGAGGATTCGAAACAGTCGGGATGGAGACGAATTTTACCTCTTTTTGCATAAATATATATTTATGCTTTATACTTTTGCATAGCCTACATTTCTTTCGTGCAAGTGTATCGTGCCTTCCAATCAAATGACCAATAAATATCAAATCTTACACCGCCAGGCAAACTATCTTTGGAGGGACGTCTACAACCCGAGTGAGCAGCCACTTCTGTGTTCAAATTTCATAAGTGATACTGCTAGAAGTGATCGAAATTGTAATTGTGATATTTTACTATCATTTGCAATATTGTAACTCTTCCAACTATTTACGACTATGCTATCAATAAGATTCATAGAGGCCATCACCATTTCTTCACTCTTATTCTGATTCGGTAATTAGAAATGCCGTTATCGTGCAAATCCACACCACTCATAAACATATTGTATTCGGCTACTATATTAGACCGAGATACGAAAATATTTTTGTGTTCCTTCCGACTGTATCGTTCTATTTGAACAAGAGGTATTAATGTGCAGGTATTTGTTATTACCGTAACAGCAGAATAATCATTCCACCTCACCAGTAAAACTTTTAGACACAGTATCAAATGCAGACTCGAATGTTCCTGTACCTGTGGCAAAGAAACCTAGATCCGGAAGTGTCTCAAAAAGAGCATATTATGAAGAAAAGAAATTGTAGAAAAAGACTCGATGCTCTTGGGGTTTGTCAACTACAAAAAGTAAATCTAAAACTACCTTCGTTCCCAAACTATTACCCGAATCAAAATTATTATGTTGTTTTCCTCCATATGGTATGAAGTTTGTATAAATAACCTGTATGTGAACAAAGACACCACAATTTAAATCAAATCTTACAGGCTTCCGAATGAACATTTTGCATGAATGACGTCCAAAATATGGTACCATTTCCTCGTCTATTGAAAGGTTATGTTCGAATACACCAAATTGTAAAAAAATTATATTCATTATATGAAAGATATGAGTAAGTTTAGCAAATTTATTATCTTTGTCTAATTGAGTATTATCAGACAAATGAATATTTTGTTTCAGAGGTGGTTTCCCTCACAATGGCTACTTCTGTATCTTCATCTTTCGACCAATACATGTCACATTGTGGCAAGGTATGTTAACCCGATAATATGCAGATACGGATAAAGCGTTTTAGTTCAGCTTCATTCATATGGAATTTGTGACGATTGTTTTGTGTTGTATAAGTATTTGAAAAATGTATAATTTGGCTTGAGACTTCATCATAAAAAAATAATGAAAATATTTCGATAGGCGACTTTCCTCCATGGCTGGCTTTGATTTTCTCTAATAAACGATTGTTATTACTTTGAGGATGAGTCGAGAATGCTGGAGGGGCTTATTTTGATTAGGTTTTCGCATTTTATTGCGAATTGTACTGAGTGGGATATCATCTTCAGAATCAGTTGCTGTCGGAACGTAGAAATGGAGGAATTGGAAGAAAAACATGACCACTTTAACATACATAAACTCGTTAAAGAAGTGACAGGTCATACAAAACCTTGCAGTTTTACAGTATTGTGAAGGACAATAAATTAATTACTGATCCCAAGGATCTACTTCAACATTGGAGAAACTACACAGCAACTAAGACACCGCTAGAAGAAACTCTGAAAGTGAATATAAAAGTGAACCCTTCCCCATAATATTGAAGTCAGAAGTTGTAAGGGCAATCAAACAGGGCAAATATAGACGCCTTGCTAGATCTTTTTAATGACATTTATCTTTTTCTTCAAGTGCCCTCTCCGCTACGGAGTTTGGCAATCATCATTGCTATTCGTATCTTTGAAGCTGTTGCTTTAAATAATTGGTGAGATGTGCACTGGAACCAATCTCTTAAATTGCGCAGCCAAGATATACGTCGTCTCCCCACTAATCACATGACCAAGATATTCCAACTTTCTTCTCTTGATGGTGATCAACAGCTCCTGTTCTTTGTTCATTCGTCGAAGAACTACACTATTTGTTATTTTGTCTGTCAAATGACATTTATGGGTCCGGTCAAATACCACAGGATTGGCTACAATCAACCTTTATACCAATCCCAAAAAAGCCAAACGCTAATAGTTGCGACCAATTCCGAATGAACAGCTTATTGAGCTAGGTCCTAAAACTCTTCTTTTAAAGATAATTCACACAAGAATATACAACAGATGTGAAAGAGACATTAGCCCCATACAGTTCGGTTTCAGACAAGGATTTGTCACAATAGAAGACTTTATAGCTTAACTGTCCTACTTCAGAAATGTAGAGATCGGCAAAAAATGCCTTCCTCCCTCTGCTTTATAGATTACCAGAAAGCGTTCGATTGTGTTAATCATTTAGAATTAGTAAGATTGCTCCAGGAACATTCGATAGATGAGAATGACCTTAAAATCATAAAGAACCTTTATATGAATCAAATGGCACCTGTGAAAGTAGGACTAGAATCTACATTATATTTCTCAATCGAAAAAGGTGTACGACAGGGTTGTGTTCTGTCACCTCCCCTTTTAATCTTTACTCTGAAACGATTTTCGATAGAGCCTTAAGTGACACTGAAGATGGAATCAAAATCAACGGACAGTTGACAGACCAATCAACACATTGAGATCTATCAGATTAGCAAAAGGTTCTTAAAAGAAAGTGTAATGTGTTTAATTGCACGCTTTAAAATATACTTCCTGCAGTGAAGAAAGGTTCAAGTTCCATAGAATGTCAATTCCTCTAGATGCGAGAGAAATCGCGTCACGCTCTCACAAATTAGTGCCAAGTAGTTTAAAAATTGAATAAACTGAATTGAAAAATTTAAAACACATGAACTCAGTTCATGTGTTTTAAAGCTTATCTACAGTATGTTAATTCTACTCTATCTATTGTTCCTGTTCCTTAACGTTGTCTCTACTTCTCCAGTGGTGTGTAGTAGTATTGTAGGGATAATAGATGATGCATGTAATTATGAAATGGTATAATGTAACATTATTATTGTTTTATGCTTTAGTATACTTTTCGTACAATAGTGTCTTATCATCGTATCGTTTTCATTTCGATCAGATACATCTCATCTGATTAAAATATATTCTCGAATGGATAAGTAAAACGCAAGAGAATTAATTTTAATTTTTTATTTAATATATAACAAAATTCATATAGCTAATATAGTTGTAAATACTCAGCACTCATTAAATCACACTTTTTTTAATGTAAATACTATCTTACACAGAAACATCGTTCGTTCTCTCTTGCAGAAAAATACAGCTATATACGAAAGTTTGAAAAACGAGCGATATTTCCGTCAATCGATAACATACAAACATTTATTTATCTAAATTTAGACTAATGTTTTTTCCAAATATAATGTCGATTCTAAAGAATTAGCTAGAAACACACTACCGAGTTTGATTAGTTTAAAATTTAACTGAGAATTCAATTGAATGCTATGTATTCAATAAAACACTAACACCCTATGTATTCTCCTAAAATCGCAGTCCCTTTTGCCTTTCGGACAATTTGAAAACTTTCACTCAATACTTTAAACGTTTAGTTCCCAATAAGAAGTTTAATTTCAATTTTAGGAATCCATTTAATTTAGTATTAATAAAACTCAATAATAAATAAAACGAATCTTAAAAGATTTAAGATCAGCAAATTATACTAAGAGGCCCTAACTATTACGACCAATTTTATAACTCCCTTAATTCAACATTTAACTAATTAGCCGTTAATTTTTTCTGTTTCTTCTATTTAATTAACTGAATTAGTTAATTCATATCAAAATCCAATTATATTTGTTACAATCAAATAAATGTCAATAATAAATTAGTCTTGCAGTAAAAAAATATGAAGATTAATAAAACAAAAGACCACTTTTAACTTTTTGATAGTAAATGAATTAATTCTGTTAAAAATGTTGATTTAAAATATTTAATAGTAAAATTAATGTGTACATAATAAATTAGTTAGTGTTTTAAGCTAATTATATTAAAAAATTTTAACTTTCTAGATTGCGCCATCAGTTGTAGAATCCTAACATGTGTGTAGACGACAAAGGTTCATGAACATATTACTGTGAAGGTAGTAACAGCGAATCTTCGAAATTTTTCTGATAGATGGCGATAATAGAATACGCCATCCTACATTTCTGTACTATCTTGTTTCGCTCTCTAACATGGGCAATAATATGCGCTGCTAAATCAATGAGGAGTTTTTAGTTTTGAGTTATAAATTATAGTGTCGTCTCACTTTTGCTAAGGTAAATGCCAACATTCTATAGAATAGAATAGACTTCTATATATTCTATAGTCTTAGATAAATCAATTCAACAACACAACTTGTCGATATAACCAAAATACGCAAGCTGAAATACTTCGGGCACATTAGACATCTTAAAAACTTACAAACACTTATAAATTTTGGCATCTCATCACATAGGGAACCATCCAAGGTAGCCGTGTTTACGGTTTTATCTATAACTATTTTACAGCTGATTATTATATATAACATCTAGTAAGGTAAATACTAAGATAAATCATACATTTTTCATTTATGTTACCAGTTGGTAACAATTTTCCGAAAATCGTTGAAAATTGCCAAATTCTTCATAATTTGGTTAGACTTAAGCTAGATTTAACATTACACAATCTCTTTTTGGCAACTGTGAATGAAACTGACAACAAAGAAAAGAAAGACAGAATCATAAGACCATAACAGTACTAGGTGATATGTGCAGGCCTGAATAAAGTACTTCATTGATGAACTCAAAGCAACTTACAAGAACTCTAAAATAATAAGTGGAATAGAGAAATTACACAGAGTAGGTAAAACGAATGGAGAATAATTGTGGCCCAAAAAAGGATCTAGGTACAACCGGTAAAAGCGTTAATGCTTCTTAATAATCGACTTTTGGATTTGAATCAAGTCATTTTAGGCGTCTCCTGACGTTTCACTACTTTTGTAAGTAGCTTCTTTAATAGTAGGTAAGCTGATGGCAACTGAAGTACTCGACGAACTTATAATCGAAACTCAACATTCAACTATATTGTTTTACAGGAGCAAGGACTCGCCAACAGACGGGATGCGCGGTAACAGCAACCCCTACCATCACAAGGAACACGATAATGGTCGATGATTCGAACAGAGAGCGGTAACGGCCGTTGCAGAGTTGTTTTGAGCGGATTCACGTTTTAACTTCAGAGTAAGTTGAGTATTTGAATCATTCCTTAACTGTTGGTTGTTGACTCGCAGTACTATCGTAACAAACCGTTGAAATAGACCAACACAAGAGTTAGAGCTCCATGTAAGCCTAGAATTTCATGTAGGCAATTCATTTTTGAAGTTTTTATGTTGAAAGTTAAGTGAGCAACATAATTAATTAATAATAATAATTTACATAAGCTTGAAGAAAAATATTGGTGTTTGGTTTTAGTCTACAATAATTTTATTTCGTTAATCCATAAAAAATACCAATTTATTGTTTTAACACCCAATTCCCACTACACAATTCCTCTAGGCTACTAAACGGAAGTAAAAGTAAAAGTTTTCGTAAAATTTTTGTTAAAAACAAAAATTTGGGACCTTTAAAAAACTCTCTAAGAAGTAACTGTACTCTATAATTAAATTAAAGTACCAATATTGATCTAATTTTAAAACATTCAGTAATTTTTGTACGACTTCTTTTTTTTTAATAATTTACTTACAAGAATATCAACAGACAGAGACAGTCAAAAATATTTGCCGATATCTGTGCATATTATTTTTTGTAAATAGTACAATTATATCACATTTTATATTTCGATTCAAATGCTTCAGCAGTTTCTTTAGGGCAGTAATAAAATAAAAGACTATATATGAAGCAATTTCGTCGGGATTTTAACTGTATGATACAAGCTGATCTACTTTTATATCGATAGGGGTTGATCATTAATATAAGGTTAAATCTAAGATTTTGAAGCTACCTAGCTATAAAAATAATAGAAATGCATAATTGTTTTTGTGACATGGTTCATTTCATAAATACTTATCGTTATTTATTAATTATTACAACTTACTTTGTCATTCTTGTAATGTTACAACTGATAAGACCAATCCCTTCCCACTATTTCCGCATCAACACCCGATATATCTATTCTGCTCTTAATTAACGGTGTAAGTAATTTTTTATTTAATAATTTTTTTTCCACCTTATGTAAAAGTCTTTAACTTTACTGTGACGGTTTTTCAGTTTTTCATGATTTTTATAATTTCTTTTTTATATTGAATTATAATTTGTCTCTAGAAAAGTATTTAGTGATTACTTAAATATTTTTTTATTATTCTTAATACTCATTTCATTGTTTGTGAATATCTTAGAATTTCTTACGTCAAAATTGATACTCTCTACATATTTTATAACAGCATACAAAGTTTTTTGATAGTAAATATTTTGTGTGGAAAACGAACTGGCAAATAAATTTGTCACGTGCTCTCAGAGATATGAGATTCGCCAGCAATTTGCTAAAACATGAACTAGCAAATGTTTGAAATGTCGCGATATCGTCTCGAACAGTTAGAAGACGTTTACATGAAGCAGCATTGAGCAACAGGAAACCGGCCAAAAAACCCAAAAAATAAATACACGTAGATATGCTTAGAAAAAATTGTGCTTTTTTTTTATATATCCTTTTATTTTTCAATAATATCTGTGAGATTATTTCATCGGAAAATAATAAGGTATTTTTAATTTTCCAGTCAATTTTAATTAGTAACGAAATAGCCCGCAAGAGGCGCTAAAGGGTATAAGGAAAGGAGTGTCCAATTGAATTTCCCGCCAAATGATTATGCGATAACTCCACTCCATCGAGTTAGAATTCTAACTCGATGCTCCACTCGCAAGTGGTGCTAATAAACGAAATTTATGCATTGAGTTGCCTATCTATCTGTATATTATTTATCTATGGTTTATTCATTTATTAATAATTGTCACATTTTGAAATTTTGACGCATTAAATTGACTCTTATTATTTTTATACTAGGTAGCAATTGAAAATCTACTATTTTGTATCTATGTATGTCACAATAAATATATTACCCGAGAAGAAAAATAGTTAACTGGCATTTTAAACACTACTTGTTTGTTCAAATAATTAATATACAATTGGAAGTCACTACACTACAAATTGTGGCGTTTTAGATTTAGTTGAAAAGATTGTAATAATTACAAAGTACTCATAATATTATAGCAGCAAACGTGGAACTATTATGTAAGGTGAGATATTTTTAATGACCTAGCGACAAAGATTAGGTGACAATGCTCCACCACTGTTTTTTTATTTTTCTCTTCCAGCTCTCTAGTTTTAGGTCGGCTTCGAGGTCAGAATTTTGTATTATTTTTTTACTAGCTTTATCGATAGTCTCCCGTACAAATTTGTAACTTATTGATTTTTTGTCCTCTTTGGGAGGTATCTTCTAATCTTTTCCTTCATATGTATATTAGTCTTGTTCCATAGTGTATTATTTGCAATTGTGACCAAAGTTCATAATAACGGGTTTTAGTGACATTTTTGTCAGTCAAATGAACTTTCTTAATTAGTTGAATGTGTCACCCTATAGAATTTAGGTTTTACATATTATTTTCCTTCTTTTTTATATGCTCTTATTCAACTGTCCCTCTTTATTGTTTAAAATATTTATGCAATTCTTCCATTTTAAAATGCATATTAATTTGCCTTCATTGTCTTTGTCGTAAAGTAGATCAATAAGCACTGGTACATCCAAAAAGAGCTTGGTAGGCGCTTGAAAGTCAATAATTTACTGTTTGTCTCCCTTCTTGCGATTTGTTGATAACTAAACTAAGATACCAGTACCACAGAATAATAAACAAACAGAAGGTCCACTCTCCACGGAAAATTAAGTACGCGCATCTCCTTCGCGCAGACGTTCCGCCATGTTTTACGAGGATTTTAAAGGGAACCAGTGTTGTTTATGTGGTGTGCATGGAAAAAAAAACCAGGTTTATTTGACTTACGGCAATCATAGACATATTATACAATTATATTAACAGTTTTAAATGTAATAACATAAATATAATGTAATTAAACATAAATGTAAACAATTGCATAACCTCACAAAGCATATGTTTGTGTCCTCCTAAAACAGGCGCGCGTGCTGAAAAACTTCAAAGGCGGCATCTGAGAGTGGCCCTTCTGATTGTTTATTATTCTGTGCCAGTACATTATTTCTACATTTTAGTGACGTAATGATTCAAAATGGCGGCCGGGTAACATATTGTAAAATTATTTCAAAGGCGATCATATGCAGGATAATTCAATTTTATTTATTTTAAAAATTATTTTATTTTTGACCAATTCTATGGCGTTGTTTACAAACATCGATTGTTTAATATGCGGTAAAAATATGTATTTACATACAGTGGTTGAGTTTACCGAAAGTACAAGCTGAATATAACCGCAAGTGTCAAACATGAAATATTTCGGTTTGGCAGTGTTGGAATGTTTTATAATGCATATGTTGTATGCTTCAAATATAAAGAGAGAAAGCTTTTAAAAAGTACATTTTGATTATACCATTTTATGAATTCTGCAATTTTTAATTTATATGAAACAATAACTTGTAAATATTTGTCTCTTTCGAGATTATTTGCAAATATCTGTTGCAATCTGGCAACTGCTGATTTGACGATTGCCAAATATATCCCCTAATTTATCAACGGGTAATTGCCAAAAAAAATGTCTAATAATTAACTGCAATTAACCTCCAAAGAAACAAATATTTACTCATTTTTGTTTTATATAAATAAAAAATTGCAGAATTCATAACATAATATAAACAAAATGTACTTTTTTAAAGTTTTATCATTTTATATTTGAACCATACAGCATCTATATTATAAAAACATACCAACACTGCTAAACTGAAATTTTTTGTTCCATGTTTGACATTTGCGACTATAATCAGCTTGTACTTTCGGTAAATTCAACCCATATACTTAACACATACACAGTATATATTAATCATTTTTAAGTCTTCAGCGTTTATGGAACACGTGAATTTATTTTTCCAATTTCGCACACTCTGATATTTTTTTATCGAGATCTGTCAAAATATGACGTCATCGACAGCTTTTTAAATGATATATATGGCATTAAATACATCATTCGAAAGCTTTTGTGTTACTCAGTATGATTGTAGAACTAGGAAAGAGTTCTTCTTTCCCTGGAAATCAATTCCAAGATTCAACGTCGCCATTTTGAGACGACGCAATAAATTCGCACAAAAATCTAGAAGCGTATAGAGTGTGACACAAGAAACGTACTGAGAGAGCTTTCAAATAATGTAGCACAGGCTATGTATTGCCATTTCTGACTAAAAAATGTCCATGAGTGTCATATTTTGGACAGATTTCAATAAATAGGATCTAATAAATTCTACCAGAAAGTATGAGGTTATAAAAATAAATTGTCCTGTTCTTATTATGAGTAGCCCGTATCTTTTGCACACTGTCGGCATTAAACATTAAATGGTTCGCACACAATTAAAGTTAGGTAGCGAGTGACACAAGACCGCTCAAATGAAGTATTACTTGTCATATGATCTAGTTCAAAATAATTTTTCAAAATGGCACCAGCCCGCCATTTTGAATGGTAACGTCACTAAGATATAAACAATATACAGGTACATTAGTTCAGTTATCCAAGAATTTATTAATTTCAATTTTGTGATGCATAAAATAGTAGGAGCGGGCGGATTTTAGACAGCTTAATATATTAATATCTTTCTCATCCTAGTTTTCTGTGCCTTTTTTCGTTTTATTTTGTTTTTATCTATTTATTGTTATTTATCGGCTTGTTAGTCCACACATATATATTTTCATGTGTTTTTTTTTTCATCCTTATATTTAGCATTATTTCAAATTGATTCCCACCAGAGAAAATTCTGTACTCGTTTTACTTTTTATATTAGGCTGTTTATATAACTCTTTTAATTCTTTGTTTGTCTTACGAATCCTTCTTCATTAGTGGTTTCACACGGCAGTCATTATGAAACATCATCTTCTATAAAACAGTTTCATAGTATTTTTTTCCATATGATCAAAAATGAACAACTGATATTAGTAAGCAATTCTTTTGAACTAGCATTCAGCGAAAAATACTCAAACATATTTGTAATTTGGGCTTGAATATTTGAGAGTACGTGACATTTTTATTCTTCCATAGACTTAATTTAAAATCAGTATAGAGTGTTCAGTTATTTCTGGACTCATCTGATGTATCAAACTGTCACTAGATTGAAGTTTTGTGAGTTGTCCTCTTCATTTTAGTCATTTCTGGAAGCATCACTGACTGAGAGTTGCCGAGTCATGTCACATGTCTTTCATTGTACTCCTCCTCCATCGATCGACCCAATTATTTGGTGAATTCCAATTCAAAGCCGAAGATCAAACTTGAATTTTATACTACGGCATTTCAGATATTTCTGGCTGCAATGTGTATCGATCCAAGTCGTTATACCACCCACAGTGAGCGCGTTAGTCCGATGGCTTAACGTGCCTACTAAATGAGTTACAAACATCTTCTTTACATGTGAGAGCAAACCTCTGCTGTCATTGAAAGTATCATGATCATTGATCATTACGAATATTAACGAATATTAGAAATATTATTTACTTTTGTTTGCTGCAATCCTTATGATGTATTTTACCCAAGACTTCAGATGTATTTACCACAAATGTTGTATTAGTCTGCACGACTTTTAAACACTACCTCAACCACTAGAAGCATAAGGTAGTAACGTGTCATAACAAGTCCAAATTCTTATCATTGGTTAATATTAGCGGAGGCGGTATTTATTGTTCATGCACTGTAAAACATTTATAGTAGAGGTATATATAACAGTTCTGCGTTTACTAGAGATAACCATAAAATGCATTTTCATATTTTCATCTAAATTTATATATGCCACATTCTGTAAAATTACTATTTTTAACATTAACAAGTTTTTTTTTCAAAATAAAACACAAGAATTAGCCCAGAAACTAAGAAATTCTGAACCTTACGATGTTCAACAAATATATGCACTTTTCTTCAAAAGTCTATATTTTATAACAAAATAAAAGTCGTGTCCACTCTGGTTAAAATGTTTTTTGATATTGCTTCGCATTATAATTTAGTTTGATGGGATTAAACATTACATAAAAGTTATTTCACTTAATTGTTTATCAATTTTTGCTAGATTTTGAATATGCTGCCAGAACTTAGAAAATGCCGAGGATCGAGAGTAAGGAAATCAGTACAGTTTTTCAAATCTAGGAAAATGCTTGAAACCTCAATGTAAAAATTTAGGTGAGAGCATATCTCAAGCTGTATCACTAAACTTTGGTTTTCACACACCGTATAGAGTTTGTGTACACATAATGAAAAAGCAGCATGTCAAATGGTGTATGCTGTGCACACTTGTTTCCCGAATGGTGTCCAAATTTCTTCTGTACAGGCAAGCAAAATCTTAAACTTGTCCCTTTCTTTGACAAACAATACTTTAGTTACTTATGTTATAGATCGAAATGTTAACTATATTAAAAATGGGTCATTAGAAGAATAATTTTTTATACAAATAAAACTAGCGCCGGACAATAATCGAATAAAATAAATCCATCAAGTGTAGACCAACAAAAAACGAAACCAAACGAACACAAATGTATAAAATGTAGTTTTTGTAAACACAACATATTAAATATAGTGAACACAAGTCACTTTTAAGGTGTCCACATTAAAATCAAAACGGTAAACAAAGATTCATATTTTTTTTCACATAGATCTTATTTCCCCAGAAAATTATAAATCGTAGATTTTGTTGGATCGAGAAAGGCAATCAAGTTACAAAGAAGAGAATGGTCAATGTAGAAGACAAGGGTACACTCAAGACTGATAAAAAACGTACTATTTTCAAAATGGTCTTTCAAGGATTTCTATAGTCAAATATTTAAAATTGTCAGTCAAAAAAGTACAACGTCTTGCTTTTTCGATTTAATCAATTTATTTGCTGATCACCATTATAATTATCAGAACATACTTAAAAGTTTTTCTAGTGATAATGATGATAAGAAAATAAATCGTTTCAAGAGGTAAAAAACGAGAGTGTACTTTGGGACCGTCATTAACCATAATTAATTTTCTGTAACCATTCTGATTGTTAAATATTTGTAAGAATTTTGTATTTTATATTAATTTAATCCCATGCTCCCAGTAAATTATCCTTCCAATCAAAAAAATCTCTAACCAGTCGACTCACATGCATTTACCGACATTTACAAAAAAGAACTTACTTAAATCACAAAACAGTTAAATCAATTCAGTGGCACGCAATGAACGACTCGAGTTTCGAGGGTACGTTCCCTCTATACGGTATTTTGAACTGTTTTATCACTCGCGCGGCTGCGCAACTCAGTCTCGTGAATTTCGCCGTGTTGACCAATTGGTGCACGGGCTGACCTTTCAACAGATCAGCGAACGTTTGGCTGGCATTGTTCACGGTGTCGATATGGGCACCATTGGCGAGCAGCACCTGAACTACCGATGATGGACACGGTTTGGCCATGGCGGTGAGGTGGAGAGGTGTGTTGCCGTCGTCGTCCTTTAGGTTTGGATCGGCTCCTACTCTCAGTAATACCTGCAAAAAGTTGTTTATTTGAAAACGTCGACCTTAGAACCCATTTAACAAAATTACTTAACAGTTTAAAAAATTTATAAAGGACTGTCATAGAAAAAAATGCTATTAGGGTTGGCTAAGGGATGAACTCGCTAAGCGATGCACTCAGCGTAACATCTCCTTATCCACTGTCACGTCTAAAATTTAACAAGACCAAAAATTCTTCTGAGAGCTCTCTCGGATCGCATTTAACCCTTTCACTCCTGATTTGTTTATTTTAAAATTTGATATATTTGTCTGTAGTTTGTTGTTCTAGCGCATTTAAAAGAACTAAGAATGTATTTAAAAAATCTTATTTTTTATTTTTTCTGGTAAAAAATGCATGGGATTATATATCATAGGATTATAAACAGTATTTGTGTATGGGATATATAATCCCAACAGTATACATGAACGATAAATGTTTATACATGATATGGGGTAAAACAATCGCTACATAATGGAACATCACACATTTTATAAATAAATTTGCAACTGGATTTTCCTAATATAGGTAAATGATCATTAACATTAGTCATCACTGTGGCTGACATGCTTCGACGGCCAACATGTTTGGTTTTTTTTTCTTCTTTGGAGTCCTTGTCGGCCAGTACTGATAAGAATCTCAGTTAAGTCAACCAGATAATTTAGAAAGGGTATTTTCTTATTTCTGGTATGTAACGCAGTATATAGCATATATGAATTGTATACTGCCATCATTAGAACTTTGTAGTCAATTTTCTTCCACAATTTTTGGTATTTTCTGTTGAGATCATACACAGATGTCATTTGATCACATCTATCTACACCTCCCATGTAACGGTTAATAGAATTCAATCGATACAGGACAACAAATCTCGGCTTTTGTACCATCTTTCAGTTTTCTACACACAGTTGTTTCTTCTTTCTTATGACAGTTAGTTAGTACAATAAAATCTTTTGTGTCCTGTCATCGTATAGCTAATGTTCCAGTTTCATTCTTTTACTTGCGATTCTCCTCGATTTAGCTTGCCATGAAATTTGAGTTGGTACTCATACATGTTCCGACAGCAGGAAACATAATGATATCCATAAGATGAACTGTTGTAAAAAATCTGTCGAAGCAAATTACAACATTTTCATTAGAAATTGTTTAAGATAACTGATTTACGACAGGTTCTCCCAAAGTACCTGTCATCTTATTATCATTTTTGCCTGCATACACATTTATATCGTAAACATAGGCAGGTTCCGAATCGCATCTTGTCCATAACTTTATGTCACGTTTTATGGGTTTGAGGGGCATATACGGTTTCATCATCATTCATCATTCAGCATATAATGTAGATCGCCCTTTAAATTTTACCATAGACTCATCAATTACTTGATAGGTAGAATGACTTCTAGCTCTCATAAAACTTGTCTTCAAGCAGGAAATAACATCATCTACATAATAAGTGTTACTTGCTGTGGCATGTTTATTGGGTTCGGCAAAATACAATTTTGATAATAGTAGTAAGCACCTATCCCTTGATATTGCACTACGAATATAATCGTTTCTAAGTGATTTATTATTAGATCAGTACATTGCGAAAGAAGGAACTGACAACGTCTTGTCAACGTCGAGTCAGCGTCATGTCAGTGTCGAATCTTTTGACATCAAAGTGGAAGTGGAGGGGGTGGCCCAAGTGTCGCATACTCTGCTCACACTAGTACAGAGGTAATACGTAGTAACGCCGCGCTTGCCCCACTCTCATCCCCTCAAGCTTCGTACTATGCATTCGAAAAACATCTGGCTCCTGATTGTCACCCAGTACATTCTATATTCTTTTAAAAACATTAGTTTATGTGTTGATAGTCAGTGAAGGCGTTTAGTTTATTTAATAAATAAATTATACTAAATACTTAAAAATTTCAATTAAATGTTTTGTTTTTGGTTATGAAAATCATTTAAAAATGTTTTTTAACTATGTTTTTTTCATAGATTTTCTTTTGACAATGAAAAATAAACTCATTATAAATTAAATGAGCACGCCAGTGTTTTATTAAATATTATACCTTAAGCAGGTCTTTAGGACACTCGATTATATATCAAGTATAGAAGGCTGCGGAGTCTATTTATTATATATCATTGATTATAACTGAGCATCATGTTTAAATGGAACTCTTGCATGTCAAGGATGCAACGGTCCCATTTCTAGCCTCTATCGATTGCTATTTGCAGGGCGGATTTAAAATTATTAAACTTTCATAACCTTTGCGTTTATTAAATCGACAAGCTTATCAAATAAACTTACCTCTGCTAGATGTGGAGACGGGAACTGGCAGGCGGGATACCTTCCTAAAATTGCCACGTCCCTACAGCAAGCTAAATGCAGCATCGTTCTTCCGGACTTTGCTTTAACTTTTAGTTTGACTAAATTGTAGATTGCCTGGTGGATTTCCTTGGTAACTTCTTCGCTGCTCGTGTGGTGGTCTAAGAGTCGAGTCAGCAAACAGGCCAGATGGAGGGTTATTACCATAACTCGAGTTAAATAATTTACATCGCCCTTACAATTCGGCATTCTGTCTATTGCTATACTTCCTGCAAATATGAATATATACATACATATATATATATATATATATATATATATATATATATATATATATATATATATATATATACTTCTAGCGGTTAATGTGGGCTCCGTACTAAAACGGTATTATACTAACTCCAGGAGAATATACGCCGTGTATATTATTATCTGAGTAGCGCTTTATGTGGACTCCGACCAACACGTCGGATCATGTGGACTCTGTAACTGGATAAAACATTTTTGGGATCCGTATACAGCTTTCAGCGTACACAACTAAGCTCCTGCGATGTTGCCAGTAGTTGTATTAGTCGTAGATTTTCAAATTTTAGAGCAGGTACATTTTAGAACTTAAAATTTATTTAAATATCCACCAGGTTAGTCATCGAGGAATTCCAAAAATATTTGGCTACTGTTTTTAAATATATTATAGTATAAATTGTTAATATAATTTTATTTTATTTTTATGTTTAATAAGCACTTTGATAATTTAAATTACTTGCTCTAATTATTTTCAAAGTTTAATATCCATTATAAACTTATTAATGCTAATATATAGCATTATTTTATAGCATTCTAATATTTTAGCTATGGATTAAATCCGAATAGCGTTTTGATATTACTTTACTTTCTCGGAGACATTATATTGTAACACAAAGATCTTATTAAATTACCAAAACCTTCCTTTCATATTTTATTCACTAATAAGGGGCAGCACTAACATCAGTAAGATAATAAGGCGTACCTATAGTTCTGGGCAGCTTAATAGAAAACTTGAATGTAGCAATTTTATTGGTTTCGGGACTGCTAAATGGATTGGGGAAGCAGGATATCAGCATTAAGTTAATGCATATAGGAATTGTTGCTTGACGGTTGAAATATCAAATACCAGAAGGCATGACGGTAGCAATCTGAGAAAGCAAAGCAAAACAACTTAACTATTATTAGACAATATCATATTTCCTAATAAACTAATATTCACTTTATAACGGGACAAAAAGATATCGAAACAGTATGTACATACCAACGGGTTTCCTATGTCGGCATCCAGCAAAATTGTTGTAATATTGATACGGGAAACAAAAACCTTGAGAGAGAAATTGGCCCCAAGAAACTCTGCCTTAATAAACAGTCGAATAAAATACTGATTCTCGATTTAAATAGTCAAAAAATTAAAAAACAATTTATTAAAATAGAAACAGCGCCGATTTACGATGTAATCCATTAACGGCTCAAGGTACAAAGCAGCTCCTAGTTATGCTGATGATTACATCTATAAATATGTAAACGACATACTGAACAAAGTCCAGAGAGCAGGAAAAAAGTTTCAAGTAAAATCAACGAAGTGAAAACCAAATACCAGCGCATAAACATAAGAGACCGTCAGTAAATCTAGATACAACGTTAAAGTCAACAATTTCAATTTCGAAAGTATGGAAAACATTAAATATCTTAGAACAATAATCGCAGTTGGTAATACTACCACTGAAGGAGTTTAGAGCATAATACAAGCTTTAGACCTATTTTTATGTACGGATGCGAATCATTACAATGACTAAAACAAATAAAAAAGACTTCAAATATTGATAGATAATTGATAGGGAATAAGCACATCTATAGATAAGAATGAACAGATCATACAAGGTGGATAGCAAGGATTTCGGATTGGAGCCCAATAGGAAGGAGAAAAAGAGGTAGACCCCGAAGATCATGGAGGGATGAAGTGGACGAGGCCATGGAAAAACGAGACCTTAGAGATGGAGAATGGCAGAACAGAGAGGACTGGAGACGTTGGCTGAAAGAAGGAAGGCGGCGACAGCTGTAAAAATCCTTATATAGATAGATAGATATATAGATAAGAATGAATAACATGCGGAACAAAAGAAACTGTGTATAAACTTGAAATTTCAGAAATAATAATTAAATGAATTAATGTAAATCGTAGGAAAAGAAATAAGAGGAGCCATGACACAGTGAAAAACTAGAAATCTTATGGAAAAATACAATAAACTATTACATTTGCTCTTTAGCACCGTGAGAAGATCAAAATACAAATCTGCATATATAATTATTATATTAAAGAAAAGTTAATAAAAACTTCTGTTCGTCAGCAGCCAGAGAAATTACACATTATAATATATTGAATAATGCTTTTAGCATAAAAAAACGGTGTTATAGTCAATAACAAGAAAACCAAATAAAAGTTCATTAACAGACAAAAGGTATGATATAGAATGGAGCATTAATGTTACAATAAAACCATATACTTTTGAAGAATTGGAGCTATTTAGATATCGCTGATAACTTAGTCACATAAAAGATAAAAGCGAAAATGCATGTAGCAAACCATAGACATATAGTACAAATAGACCGAATATTGCCATACATTCACGTTTCCGCAATGCGACAGAGAAAACTGACGAAAAGCAATATCTGTATCTTTTTCTAATGGGACGGGTTTATCGACCACGTGACCTTCTCATTGGTCATTTAGGTCACGCGTTCGATAAACCTGGCAAATTAGAAAGAGATGCAGGGACTGCTTTTCGCCAGTTTTTTCTGTCGCACTGGGGAAACGGACCTGTATTGCAACAGTCAGTCTATTTGTATTTTATGTATATGTAGCAAACTGATATCCTCATATCACTATTAAATCTACAAAAAGAAGAAACTGCAATATAAACAAATAGAAAAGAACTCTAAAAAAGAATTTGGAAATAGAAACGTCAACTACATGTGTAATATAAAAATCAAATTTATTCTTTTAACCAAAATGATCACACCAAGTTTTAATGTATTTAAATATCCGGTAGCTCAAACTACTTGTATGCTATAATAGTATTCAGTAATCCATCTCAATATGTCCGACTTTATTTTTTTTTTATTTTTTGGATAGAATGAAAGAAATATGCCACAATATTTATTATGTAGGTACTAGATATGTTATTTGACGCTTCAATATTCAAATAGGAGTTCGTTCTTAAAAATGTACAATATTATTTTTACAAGGTATTACGTATCAGATGTTATTTATGTTTTTACTTTATCTAGTTGGTCATAATAATCAATTAGTTCGCGGTTGTTTCGCACTCTGTATTGATTTGTAATATTATCGATAACAGGTTTATATATTTCTCTAATAATTCTTCTTTCTACGATGCTCAATCGGCTCTTATTTTGTTTTTTCGTCGTCCATGTTTCATGTTTTAATTCTCCCCGTATAATTAGCCCATTAACAGAGAGTCATTCCATCCAATAAGGGTGGAGGCTGCTCAGTCATCAAAGACAATCATTCCATCCAGTAAGGATGAAGACTGCTTAGTCATAAAGACAGTCGTTGCTGTATGTCAAGGGGTAAGGTCAGCCTACATATCTGTTGCTAAAATTACTTCGATGCTGTAACGAGTACCATTTACTGGTATATGAATTTTGTTACGAATTTATCTTATGTGCTAAACTCTAATAAATCTTTTACCGCGAATTAAAAAACATGTTTTAACCTTTACGTTTATCTAAATAAATATTTACTATATTGTATAATAGTTGTTTATTATGTTTGTTTTACTATTTGGATCTCTATAGGTATAATTTAGAATATAATATTTTGTAATATTATATTCTAAATTTATATTGTTAGTTATAATAATTTAGAATATAATTAATATTGATATTTATGTGGCAATTAGCTATAGAGTCATTAGTCTTTCCTGTCATATCATATTTTCCTTAATCAACAAACCATAATCAAGCGGTTAAGTTTGTGTAATACAATATCCCAATTCGTCTCCTAATATTTAGTTTTCAAAACAGCTGTTACGGTAATAATTCGTTCACCTTTGTTAAAGCACTTTGGGTTATGACTACTTTTTCTTGGCTACGCAATTTTAGTTTTTAAATTACAGTATTTATTGATATGTTATTGATAGGGTATGCAAGTGTTGAGGAATAGTTTGGGATTGATATATGAGGTTGTGAAATATTAGGTATTGTTGATAACTGGGTAGTTGTTATATTTTTATCTGTGTATGTAGTTTGAGAACTTGGGAATAATGTTAAGGGTGATATTTGAGATGGAGTTAATATTGGTATAGTTAATTAAGTAGGTATAGTCGAGAATTGTAAGGAAAAGGACTTCGCTGAAGATGCTGATGTGATCAGGACGTCATGTGTGGAAGAGTATTAACTACTGTATTTATAGTAGTAGTTGGCACTGTTGTTGTAAAGTTCTGATTTGAATTTGTACAGAATGACCACTGGACTATTAACATTATCCATTTTCGTTGTTTAATGACATCAGGTGATATAAATAATATGAACTTATTTTGAAGTAAGTATCTAATTAGATTAAAATTCCTTACCGATTTTCTCCATTGTTATTCTCCATTGTTATTTACGGTATCACAACAATTTATTACACTTTTAATATTAACTGGATATAAATAAAAGCACAAAAACTAGGTGCGATTAGACTGGTAATTAAATAAATCTAGCTTCGACGAAGGTTCAAATCGTTGTCTCTTATTATTTTCTTTTCAAATATTCGGAGTTCTTCCTCACTTGCTTTAGTCATTTGCTATTACTCGTATCCATGTATTAAAGTAGGTTTGAAATTAGTAGCAATATTATTTCTCCGAGAAAGTGAAGAATATCTATTTGCTATCCAGATTTAATCTATAGAATAAATATTGGAATGCTATAAAATAATGCTATTAGCACCAAAAAAATTTGCTGATAATCAGTAAAAAACTAAATAAATGTCCTTTAACATGCAAAAAAAGATGATATAGAGTAGAGCATAATGTTACAATAAACCAATATCATTTTAAAACATTGCAGTATTTATTATATCGTAGATAACGTTCTCACATAAGAAATAAAAATGAATATTTAGGTAGCTAACTGATGTATATATTATAATCCTTATAACACTTTTAAATCCAGAAGTCTAATAGGAATCTATAAAATCAGGATATATAAGAAGATAATTAAATCAGTGCTACTGTGTGGA